CCCCCCCCCCGCCGCCGCGCCCCGCCCCCCGCCGCCGCGCCCCGCCCCCCGCCGCCGCGCCCCGCCCCCGCGCGCTCCTCTCTCAGCCAGAGCCCTCCCCCCGCCCCCAGGCCCGGCAGCCCGCCACTCCCAGTAACCCCCACCCTGCAACCTGCCAGGCCCCTCGCGCACGCCCCCTCCTCACCAGCACTGCCGCGCGTTCTCGCCGCATCCGCCAGGCCAGCCCCCTGCGGCGGCAGCGCCCCTCCGCCGGGGCCCCGCGCGCCCTCGCCGTCCCCCGCCCCTCGCACGCACGCACGCACGCACGCACGCGGCGGGCCCGAGCACGTAAGCAGCGCGCAGGCGCACATCGGGCCCCGCGCTTTTCGGAGTCCACAGGTCGGCTGGGAGGCGGGGAAGCGCCGGAAGGCCGGGCCCGAGGCCGGTGCGGGGTTCGCGAAGGGCTCGGGGGCGGGGTCGGCGGGGCCCGGGGGCAGAGGCCGCGCGGGGGACCGGGCGGCCGGGCTGGGGTAAGGCCGGAGCCCGGAGTGTGTCCCGCCGGGGGCGTGGCCGCGGCGCCTGCCGGTTTAGGGGAGGGACTCCTAGGGGAGGGGCTTGCGGGCCGGCGCGGGAGCAGCGGCGTCCAGCTGCGTCTGGGCCGGGGGCGGGCCCTGGGCAGGTGCCTGCGCCCCCGCGTCCCCGGCAGGTCTGCGCGCCCACCGACCCGGGGGTCGTATTGCTAGGACTGAGGACGAGGAGCATTTGGTCGAGTCTGTTCTAAGTGCTGAGCACCATTCTGAGTGCTTTGCGGCGTTTAAAGCCCCTGTCAGCTAAGCCGCGTTGCTCAGGGTCATGGCCGGTGGGCGGTTGAGCCAGAATACAGACCCTGTGCTGTTCTCCGTCTGGGGCCGGCACAGTGTCTGAAAGGTGGTGGGAGCTGCGTCGCGATTTTAATAGTTTTTATTCCCGTGGATACCCTGTTCTAGATACTGGGAGGATACAAATGTAATTGAAAACAGGCCCTGCTGCAGAAGCCAACCATTTAGTTAGACAAATTTCCCATTCTTAAAATAAGCAGGGAATTATCCAAATAAAAAAGACTGAAATGTGGTTCATATGTAAATGTTAATTAGCCATAAGTTTTAAATTTTTTTAAATGTTTATATTTTAGAGAGGGTGGGGGCACACAAGCAGGGGAGGGGCAGAGAGAGAGGGAGACACAGAATCTGAAGCAGGCTCCAGGGTCTGAGCTGTCAGCACAGAGCCCGACGCGGGGCTTGAACTCACAAAACGGGAGATCATGGCCTGAGCTGAAGTCAGAGGCTTAGCTGCTTGAGCCCCCACCCAGGCGCATGTAGCCATAAGTTTTAGACAGAAGAAATGCCGTAACAAGTGACTGAAATGGTAACCGGGTGATGGCTGTGTCATTGATCAGTGCTGGCCAAACAGGTGTTTGGCTCTCCGTGTCCATATTTGTTGGGCAAATGGTTGAGAGGAAGGAGACTGGAAGGTGAATTTCGAAGACGATGGTGAAAGTTAGAAAGGAGAGGAAGGTACCCTGGGAACAGCGGGACTAGAGCTCTGAGCTGTGGGAGGAATCCCAGGATTGCAGGTGCTGAGAGGGGCATGAAGCCACCAAGAGGAAGAGGGTGTTCCTGGTGAGGAGAAAGTTGGTGATCGGTGTTTTCCAAGCCCCCCTCTCAGGTTCTCACTTCCAGTATTGCGTCAAAGAGACTAAACTAAAATTGTATAGCGGGCAGTGGGATGAACCGCGTGTCAGAAGTCAGTTCTACTTTTGACTTGTTTATTTAGCTTTATTGTTAGAATCCCACTGGGTCTTAAGTTTTGTTTTGTTTTCCCAAAAAAGATTTATGAACACTTCCCTATGATGTGACAGGCTCTTTGTAGAGTGTTAAGGGAGATACACAGCTGTATTAAACACGGCTTGTGCACCAAAGGAACCCACAGGTTATTAATTTTTAAGATCTATTTACAGCAGTTTTGGGAGGTAGATTTTTTTTTTTAATGTTTATTCCTGAGCGAGAGACCGAGCATGAGCAGGGGAGGGGCAGAGAGAGAGAGAGAGAGTCACACACAGAATCTGAAGCAGGCTCCAGGCTCTAAGCTGTCAGCACAGAGCCCAACCCGGGGCTCAAACCCACAAACCATAAGATCATGACCTGAGCTGAAGTCAAACGCTTAACTGACTGAGCCCAGGCACCCTGGGAGGTTGATTTTAAAATACAGGTATTCTTAGTTTTTACAACATTCCTTTATTGCAGCACTCCTCGGAATTGCAGTTTTCTTACATATTTTTCTTGTGGATCGAGAGGTAAATCCTATACATCTAGCAAAACATGATTACAATCATTTGTAATTCTGGTAAAAGAATTTTGACTTAATGTAAGGAGGCTTATAAAAATACGTGGAGAGAAAAAACCTAAAATAAAAGCACTTTTCTGGCAGACTGTTTAGACATGGAGTGTTTGTATGTTAGCAGGCTTGTTCTCATATTTCATTTATAATGACTGTTTCAATTTTTTAAAATTTGTTTTAATGTTTTTATTGATTTTCAGAGAGAGTGCACGAGCAGGGGAGGGGCAGAGAAAGAGGGAGAGAGAGAATCCTGAGAAGGGCCTGCGCATTAGCAGAGCCTGATGTGGGGCTCGAACTCACGGACCGCGAGATCATGACCTGGGTTGAAACCAAGAGTCGGACACATAACTGAGCCACTTGGGCGCCCAAACGGTTTTGCTGTTAGCTCTTGACGTGAAATTGGAAAATTGTGAGAGCATCCTGTTTTCCGTGCTCATCTTCGAGTAAGTCCATGAAGACATTTAGTGTATTCTGGTTGCTAATTATGATCTGGGCTGCTGTAACCTTTGGGGGCAGCAGCTGCTGGGTCTTGTATGTGGTGTCTAAGTGTGAATTCCCGCCCTGTTGCATGCTGGCTCTGTGATCGCTGGTGACGCCTCAGCCTCAGCTTCTATATTTGTGTGATAGGCCCGAGAATAGTGTTTGTCACCATTTTTCCATATTCATTCATTATTTGACTTGATTCTTACAGTGATTTTTCTCGCTCTACAGATGAAACCAAGGGCTCCATGATAGCCCTCAGGTCATCTGCTTTCTCTTAGGGACGGAACTGAAAACCTCGGCGTGGTTTCTCCTGATTTGTTTGTCTCTAGTTCCATTGCTCTCACATGTTGCCTTTCCTTTGCTGATGAATTTTAAACCCTTTCCATCTAAATGTGAATGTTTTCCTGTGTGCAGGGAAAATTACAGGACTGAAACCATTTCTCCATAGTAAAGCATTATTAGGTCACCTCTTTATCTTGAATGCTCAAACTCTGTGATTAATGAGCCAATTCTCTTATAAATGATCTGTCCTCATCATCCAGATGGCCAACAGACACATGAAACGATGCTCAGCATCCCTCCTCATCAGGGAGATACAAATCAAAACCACACTGAGATACCACCTCACGCCAGTCAGAGTGGCTAAAATAAGCAAATCAGAGAACTCTAGATGCTGGCGAGGATGTGGAGAAACGGGCACCCTCCTCCACTGTTGGTGGGAATGTAAACTGGTACAGCCCCTCTGGAAAACAGTGTGGAGGTTCCTCAAAAAATTAACAATAGAACTCCCCTAGGACCCAGCAATAGCACTGCTAGGAATTTACCCAAGGGATACAGAAATGCTGAGGCATAGGAGCACATGTACACCAGTGTTCATAGCAGCACTCTCCGCAATAGCCAAAACATGGAAAGAGCCTAAGTGTCCATCAACAGATGAATGGATCAAGAAGATGTGGTTTATCTATACCATGGAATACTACATGGCAATGAGAAACAATGAAATCTGGCCATGTGTAGCCACATGGATGGACCTTGAGGGTGTTAGGCTGAGCGAAATAAGTCAGGNCCTTTTTATGAGGGGATAAAGTCTACTCCCACTGAACTAGAAAACAAAGAGATCTCTGGGTAATGAGTGAGAGACTCAATAATATTGTGATTTGACGCACGCGGCGGGCCCGAGCACAAAGAGTGCACGAGCAGGGGAGGGGCAGAGAAAGAGGGAGAGAGAGAATCCTGAGAAGGGCCTGCGCATTAGCAGAGCCTGATGTGCGGCTCGAACTCACGGACCACGAGATCATGACCTGGGTTGAAACCAAGAGTCGGACACATAACTGAGCCACTTGGGCGCCCAAACGGTTTTGCTGTTAGCTCTTGACGTGAAATTGGAAAATTGTGAGAGCATCCTGTTTTCCGTGCTCATCTTCGAAGTGTCCGGCATGCAGGCCCCCAGTTCCAGGTCTGTGCACCTGAGCGAATGGCAGAAGAATTACTTCGCCATCACATCTGGCCTGGGTACGGCCGGACAGAAGGCAGACGCCTACCGAGCGCAGATATTACGCATTCAGTACGCATGGGCAAACGAGGAGATCTCCCAGCGCTGCGCCACCACGCTGTTCAGAAAATATGCAGAGAAGTACTCTGCAGTTATCGATTCTGACAATGCCGAGACTGGCTTGAATAACTATGCGGAAAGCATTTTAACTTTAGCAAGATCGCAGCAAACCGACAGTGACAAGTGGCAGTCTGGATTGTCAATAAATAATGTTTTCAAAATGAGTAACATACAGGAGATGATGCGAGCCGGCAGCAAAGCCAGGGAGTCTCTGTCGGCACCTGCCACAGCATCGGTCTTCATCCACAAAGAGGCTGTTGTCTTCGATCCTCCTAAATCGAGTGGTCGTGGTGGCTCTGGGGACAGTGGCCCAGTAACTGACACAGCTTGTAATACAACTAGGACCCGAGACATCCCAGAGCGCAGTCCTTCAACATGTCCCCAGAATGCCCAGCCACTTACGCTGACTAACACCAGTCAGACATGCCCTGCATCCCTAACACCTGTCGGTGAATTTGCCATCGCAAAATTGCATGCCACACCGCTGTTTGGAAGCGCCGAAAAGGAAAACAGCAGCTCTCCCAAAGCCAGCATAGGACTGAATGAGTTCTCCGCTAGTCCGTCCCGTTTGCCCTCTGGCTATGACAATCCATGGCAGAGGAGAGCTTTCTATGGTTCTGGGATCATCGACGCACTGTCCACCCCAGAGGCAAATAAGGCTTTGCCTAAAACAGAAGACAGCACCCAGAGAGAGGAGGGCGGCCTGCCTAGTTTTAAAACTGCAAAAGAGCAACTGTGGGTAGATCAGCAAAGGAAGAACCAGCAGCCCCAGCGTGTATCAGGGTCAGCGTATGGTGGGGTAAAGAAGTCTCTGGGAGCCAGTCGGTCCCGGGGAATATTTGGTAAGTTCGTTCCTCCTGTCCCGAAGCAGGACGGGGGAGCGCCGCACGGGGGAACGCAGTACAAGCCTTCTGGGGCAGGACCTGCAGAGCCGGCACATCCCGTGGATGAGCGTCTGAAAAACCTGGAGCCAAAGATGATCGAACTTATCATGAACGAGATCATGGATCATGGCCCCCCTGTAAACTGGGACGACATAGCAGGAGTAGAATTTGCCAAAGCCACAATAAAGGAGATCGTCGTGTGGCCCATGCTGAGGCCGGACATCTTTACCGGTTTACGAGGCCCGCCTAAAGGAATTCTGCTCTTCGGGCCCCCGGGGACGGGGAAAACTCTGATTGGCAAGTGCATTGCCAGCCAGTCTGGGGCAACGTTCTTCAGCATCTCTGCTTCCTCCTTGACTTCCAAATGGGTAGGCGAGGGGGAGAAAATGGTCCGCGCACTGTTTGCTGTAGCGAGGTGCCAGCAACCGGCTGTGATATTTATTGATGAAATTGATTCTCTGTTGTCTCAGCGAGGAGATGGTGAGCATGAGTCTTCTAGACGGATCAAAACCGAATTTCTGGTCCAGCTAGATGGAGCAACCACCTCTTCTGAAGATCGTATTCTGGTGGTGGGGGCAACCAATCGGCCCCAAGAAATCGATGAGGCCGCCCGGAGAAGGCTGGTGAAAAGGCTTTATATCCCTCTCCCAGAAGCTTCAGCTAGGAGACAGATCGTGACAAACCTCATGTCCAAGGAGCAGTGTTGCCTGAGTGAGGACGAGGTTGCCCTGGTTGTGCAGCACTCTGAGGGGTTCTCGGGGGCTGACATGACCCAGCTGTGCAGAGAAGCGTCTCTCGGGCCCATTCGCAGCTTACAAGGTGCCGACATCGCCACTGTGACACCAGATCAAGTTCGACCCATAGCTTATGTTGATTTTGAAAATGCTTTCAGAACAGTGCGACCCAGTGTGTCTCCTAAAGATTTAGAGCTTTATGAAAACTGGAACAGAACCTTTGGTTGTGGGAGGTGAACAGGACACTTGAAGTTTAAAGATGGTGCCTTGGTAACGTGCCCTTTCCCCCTGTGCAGCTTAGAAAACCGGGAGTTTATTCATTGTACTCTCAGAGTGTATTTTGAATTCTACACCTCAAAAAAATACAGTAGTAATAGCTGCAATTTTCCAACTGATTGACTTAGCCTCTGTTAATAGAAACCTGGGTTTCCTCCAGGTACTACCTGATGTGTGAGCCTATTCGAATAAAATATGAATGAACGTGTTTCTTTTGTCCAGAATGGGTGTCTTTTCATGGTGAACAGTATGATGAATAGTGGGCTCGGACTGAAACTAAAGACTCACTTCTATGTGAGGTGGCGTCTGATGGGTACGCATCTCCTGTTGAAGGTTTCTTCTGCTGACCACGTGACTCTCCGTGTTGGCCGGTGTGGTGGTTTTCACTTCGTGGTGTTCAGTGGATTTACGGTCTCCCCAAACAGCCGAATGAAAGTGCCCATTTTTTGTTTTTCTTTGTAGTCACTTACAGTTTTCTCCCGTTTCTGGGACTGACTAATGGAGATGTGTTCACAGGTAGCCGGGTGTAATCTAGTATTGGAAACATGTCCACAGACATGAAGAAGAATGTTGTGTCTTTCCAGGAGGTAGAGGGTGTTCAGTGTTTTATTTGGCATTAGTTCACAACCCGTAGTGTGGATCTCTCAAAAGTGAACGTCTTCAGGGTTTTCTATTGGACCATTTTGTTTTGTAAGTAATAGACATTCATCATAGAAACATGAAGGTAGAGAGATGAACGAGAAGAGAAAGATCGCCCTGATCCCACCCCCTACTTTGGAGAGCACGGTGTCAGCTCTTGCACACATCTACAGGGCGGGACTGTACGGTCTGTTTCGCAGCCCTCTTTCTTCTCTGTCACCGTCATGTCCCGTGTGAACGTACTCTGTTACAACATCCTCCCTGAGGATCCCATCGTCTGGACAGACTGTCGTTTATTCAGTCCTCTGCTCGGGGACGCTCAGGGCAGGACACAAGCTGGTTTTCCTTTGGTTCATTGTACACAAAAACATGTTGAATGCCCTAGTGACCTTTTTAAAAAATAAATACACTTCTCTTGAGTAAAATTCTTGCATTGAATTTTGCACATTTTAAAGGCCTTTGGCATGTGTCCTGAATTGTCCCCTAGGAAAGTCGTGCGTCTGTGGGATTCCTCTCCGCACAAAGCCACAGGGCCTGCTTACCTGTCCTGTGTGGACATTGGGTCACTGCAGTTTTTTTAGTGTTGTGCCCACATCCGTTCATTCAAACGGTCCTGGATACTGGCTGGTGTTCCAGGCGCTGAGAGCAGAGTGGTGAGCAGCCAGCAAAGAGCCTTGGTCTTATGTGGGTGACTTTCAAGTTGTACTGTTCTCTCTGGACAGCACAGTTGAAGAGCGGGAATTTGCCAGGTGACTTTAGACCATCGTTTTAATTTTTGTTCTTGGCCCGCCTTCTATTTCTGTACTCTCTTGAAAGCTTTGTCCTTGCAACTGTCTTTTATTAGACAGATGTCCTTGCCATTGTCTTTCATTAGAATTTGGATGTTAAACTTCTGGTCTCTGGTTTTCAGGTAAATCTTTAAAAATGTCAAGCGTCTCCTACATTGTTGTCTTTGTCCCGTTTCGTTTCTACACAAACAGCACTGCAGTCAGCTGGGACTCCTAGGTGTTGAGGGCCAGGAATTTCTCCGGGTGTCTCCCCTGATGCTTGTGAATCCTCTTCCAGATCACCCACCCCCCTTGGGTTCTACTGTTACCGCAAGTGGCGAGGTCAGCAGCCATCGTCCTGTATGGTGTTTGTGTCCATAGTACGGTCGGTGTTTTCCCAGCAGCCACTCCCGCCAGCCCCGACCTTTGGCTCCCTTGGTCACCAGCCATGGGCCCCTTTCCTTTGTGGAACCGAGCTGGGATTATGTTCAAGATGAAAATCTCCGGGTGGCTCCACTCGTCCCGGCTCAGGCAGAGCCCACGTCTCTCTCCCGAGTTCAGGTCTGCTCTGTTCAGGTGAGAATCCAATCCTGATGGGAAGGAGGCAGGAGGGATTCCGAGGCTGGAGAGCAAGTCTGAGCTACGGAGTCCCCGCATCGTCATTTCAGCCTTCTGCCTCGTAGAAGTGTTCTTCCTCTCCCGCCTTCTGGGATTCGGAGTATGTTTCTGAGGCAGAAACTTCCAGAAACTTAGAGATTTCTTTTATCTCCACGTTATGATTAGATATGAAAATCTTGGAGCGAATTCTTCCCTTCTGAGGGTTTCGTTTGCGCTGCAATGTCTTTAGCCATATTGATTCATTCGAGAAGTGGACACTCACCAGGGTTGTCACATCTTTGGAAGATATGTTTCTTTCATGGAAATACACACACAACACACACACACACACAACTTTACCAGTGCATGTAACTCGCTTGTGTATTCATGCCTAAATGTGTTGGTAGGAATATAGCGATTAATGAGAGTCTTTAAATATCAGTTCTTTAAAAATGTTGGCATTGCACATACAATTTCTTTCGATGTGTATTCTTCCAGAAATTCTATTCCAATCTGCAGTCTTCTCTCATTTTGAAATTTGGATTCATTTTCTCACTTCTAGCTGTTTGTCCAGTCAGCCTCCACCCTGACCCCCTGATGAGGTGGGTTCTGGGGAAAGGGCCTGGGTTTTGGAGCCAAGCGGGCCTACTACTGGGAGTGTGACTCCGGGCCACATAACTGTTCCATCTCACTTCTAACGTGAGGATGTCTACACCTACTTTGTTGGAGAGTGAGGATTAAATAGTAAAAGACAGGTGCCCGAGCTCCTCAGTCGCTTAGGCGTCCGACATCAGGCTCTGTGCTGACAGCTCGGAGCCTGGAGCCTGCTTTGGATTCTCTGTCTCCCTCTCTCTCTGCCCCTCCCCTGCCTGTGCTCTGTCTCTCTCTGTCTCAAAAATAAATAATATTAAAAATTTTTATAAGTAGTGAAATACAGGTTGAAAAGGCTGGATCGTGGTTGCTCAACCATGCCGCATCCTTCTGTCTGTCCTGACTATGCCTACAGTGCCCTGGAGGGGCCTTGTCTTCCGGCTGTTTTGTGTGGCTGTCTAATCTAGCATGTTCTGCTTCCTGTTTGTGGTATATATTGTGTTTCATTGTAGATACTGTGTCGTTTCAACTTACAGAGTACATCTGTAAATCTAACTAAAGAAGTGTCTCTTTCAGTGTTCTTTTTCTTCCAGACTGCAGAACTTTCTGATAAGTCCTAGATTGTGATTTTACACTTCCTCACCTTTAAGTCCTATTTATTGGTCTCCAGAATCACTCCCCAGTGTTTTTAAGGGACACTCTAAAACCTACCTCCAGAGATCTAATTGGGAGATAGGATTCTGTCCAGGTCCACGGCAAGAGGGCAGGTCAGATAAGGGTATTTTTTTTTTTTTTGGAAGCTTTTATTTAAATTTTAAATTTCAGTTAACATGTAGTGTCATATTAGTTTCGGGGGCCCAGTACAGTGATTCAACACTCCGTGCATCACCTGGTACTCTTCACAGCAAGTGCCCTCTGTTTTGTTAATGCTTATTTTATTTTTGACAGAGAGAGTGTAAGCAGAGGAGGGACAGAGAGAGAGAGAGAGAGAGAGAGAGAGAGAGAGAGAGAAACAAAATCAGAAACAGGCTCCAGGCTGTCAGCACAGAGCCCAGCCTGGGGCCCAAACTCTTGAACCATGAGATCACGACCGGAGGCAAAGTCAGATGCTTAACTGACTGAGCCCCACAGGTGCCCTGGCAAGTGCCCTCCTTAATCCCTATCACCGATCTCCCCCACCCTCCCTCCCACTTCCTGTCTAGTGTGCTTTCTGTAGTTTAAGAGTTTGTTTCTTGGTTTGCTTCTCCATCTTAAAGGTACATTTTTAAAATTCTTTATGGATCCCTGGCTTTTGACCTCAAATCTGGAGATGGTGGTGGGCAAGCCCCTGGAACAGCTATTTAAAGTCTACTCCAGCTGCCTGTCCTTACATAGAACTTACATTTTCCAACATGCAGTTTCTGATGGAGAGAGCTTTGTGGTTCCTGGGTGGCTTAGTCGGTTAAGTGTCCAACTTCAATTCAGGTCATGATCTCATGGTCTGTAGGTTCAAGCCCTGCACTTGGCTCTATGCTGACAGATTCTGTGTCTCCCCCTCTGTCTGCCCCTCCCCTGCTCACATTTTCTCTCTCTTTCTCAAAAATAAACATTAAACATTTTTTTATAATGGAGAGAGCTTTGCAATGGGCTTTAGAAAATTACAAATGACTGATCTTTTTTTTTCTTTTTTAACATTTATTTATTTTTGAGACAGAGAGAGACACAGTGCAAGCAGGGGAGGGGCAGAGAAATGGGGAGACACAGAATCTGACTCAGCTGTCAGCACAGAGCCCGACGTGGGGCTCAAACCCACAAACTGTGAGATCATGACCTGAGCTCAAGTCAGATGCTTAACCAACTGAGCCACCCAGGCATCCCATCCCTTACTGATCTTGAAGTTTGGAAGACATCCTCAGGCAATTGCTTTCTTAGACATTAAAGTAAGGATGTTGTATTAGATAATCCTAACGACACCCAGATCTGCTGTTTTGTTATCAGTTACCAAGTATGTACCAGTCAGACAGGTGCTTACAGAGGACCAGGACAGGGCACTATGGGAAGTATTTTTAAAAACGTAGTTCTGTAAACTACATTCTGTTACTAATTTGGCTCATGAAAGAAACTCTGGGTGGTTGGAGGGGGGGTGTAGGGGACACCTGGGCGGCTCAGCTGGTTGAGCTTCTGACTCAGGTTTCAGCTGAGGTCATGATTCCAGGGTCATGAGATCGAGCCCTGAATCTGGCTCTGCGCTGACAGTGTGAAGTCAGCTTGGGATTCTCTCACTCCATCTCTCTCTCTTTGTCTGCCCTTCCCCTCCCCCCCACCAAATAAATAAACCTTTTTAAAAACATTAGAAACTGGGAAGACGTGAAGGGAGAGCTTTGGTGACGAGTCAAGTCAACATAATGTACTATTGAATATACGAGTCGTTTAAGAGAAGGGGAAATAGTTTTTAAATTAGGCAGTCCACATCCAGTGGCATTGGAGGCAGGGTGCTGTGGTAAGGGGGCCCTGGACCCCCGGTGCTTGGCCGCAGCCGGCTCAGGAGTCTATGCGACCAGCAAGGTACCTGTGAGCCCTGGGGCCAGGCCTGAGAAGCCCTCAGAGCTCTCCCGATGTGTGGGATGTGTGACGCT